GTAGGTCAAGGCCCTTCCTGACGTAGGTGTGATGTTGTTTCTCCTGCAAGATAATGATGACGTCACCTGGCTCTTGACCTGGCTCCTGGTCACCCTCGCCCTTCAAGGTCACCCTCGTACCGTGGCTCATCCCTCGCTCCACGTGTACCTGTAACGGGTCATCACAGGTCAGGTCACAGGTCATGGTATAGAGGTGAGGTAGACTTGTAACAACAACAACAACAACAACAACAACAACAACAACAACAACAACAATAATAACAATAATAATAATAATAATAATAATAATAATAATAATAATAACAATAATAATAATAATAATAATAATGATAATAATAATAATAATAATAATAATAATAATAATAATAATAATAATAATAACAAAGCTTAATATAACACACCTTTAACTAACTGACACACAGACTGACAGAGAAGTGACTGTTACCTGAGTGATCTTGGTGTCATTAACTGTACGAGCACCCTGACAGACCGTACACCTGTCCGCTTCAGAAATCACTCTGCCAGACCCACCACAGTTTGAACAGGTGCCGTGCATCTCAACCAATCCCGGCCCGAGTTGTTGATACGTCAGCTGTTGGGGGGGGTGTGGTGGTGACTCTTTATCTCACTATCTCTCACCTGTAGTTCTCTTTATTTTGTACACTCGTCAATGTAGGGAAATTAGCAAAATAAGGTCACAGTATTCTCTCTCTCTCTCTCTCTCTCTCTCTCTCTCTCTCTCTCACCTTGACCCCCTTGCCATGACAGGGGACACAGTTCTCGGTAAAGGCGTTCTCCCTGCCGCCCCTGCCACCACAGCTCTGACAGGGTCGTTTTCTATCCAATTTCAATTTTCTTCGCCCACCGACCATCAGCTGCTCTAAGGAGACGACCAGACGGTGTTCCATAGGTGGAGGTTTGGTGTGTTGTCCCCTGCTGCCACTCCCACCGAAGCCCCCGTTCCTGAAGAAGTTGAAGCCTCCACCACCACCTTCTTCATCATCATCATCGTAGATATCTTCATCTTCGCCGGGCATTCCTCCGCCACCGCCGCCGAAAAACATGTTGAATATATCCATTGGGTTTCTAAACGTGCCTCCTGCGCTGCCAGTCTGTTTAGAGAGGTGAGTGTTAGTAACTGTTTATGAGTGACTGTTGACTATCTAACTGTTTATAAGGAGGTAGAAAGGTGTTAAGTAACTGTTTATGAGTGACTGTTGACTATCTAACTGTTTATAAGGAGGTAGAAAGGTGTTAAGTAACTGTTTATGAGTGACTGTTGACTATCTAACTGTTTATAAGGAGGTAGAAAGGTGTTAAGTAACTGTTTGTTTATGAGTGACTGTTGAGTGTACATTTAACTGTTTATAAGGAGGTAGGAAGGTGTTAAGTAACTGTATCTAACTGTTAACTGTACTTTACTGAACTCATCATATATTGTACATATTACAGTCATAAATACACACTGAACGAACATAATTAATGATACAAATAAAACTCACTTAACGAACACACTCACTTAACATAAATTCCTCACTTTACGAACACACTCACTTAACATAAATTCCTCACTTTACGAACACACTCACTTAACATAAATTCCTCACTTTACAAACACACTCACTTAACATAAATCCCTCACTTTACGAACACACTCACTTAACATAAATTCCTCACTTTACGAACACACTCACTTAACATAAATTCCTCACTTTACGAACACACTCACTTAACATAAATTCCTCACTTTACGAACACACTCACTTAACATAAATTCCTCACTTTACGAACACACTCACTTAACATAAATTCCTCACTTTACGAACACACTCACTTAACATAAATTCCTCACTTTACGAACACACTCACTTAACATAAATTCCTCACTTTACGAACACACTCACTTAACATAAATTCCTCACTTTACGAACACACTCACTTAACATAAATTCCTCACTTTACGAACACACTCACTTAACGACTGACTCTATACACACCTGCTGCACTGCCTCTACACCACCCTCATCATATATCTGCCTCTTCTTGGGATCACACAAGACTTCATAGGCCTGAGAGATCTGTTTAAACTTATCACCTCCTTCAGGATTCTTATCAGGGTGGTACTGTAGAGCCAACTTCCTGTATGCCGACTTGAGTTGGTCGGGAGTGGCGTCGGGTTGAACACCAAGTCGGTCGTAATAGTCTGTTTCTTTAACCATTTTCGTCGGGTTAATCTCGTCGGGTGAGTCTCGTCGGGTGAGTCTCGTCGGGTGAGTCTCGTCGGGTGAGTCTCGTCGGGTGAGTCTCGTCGGGTGAGTCTCGTCGGGTGAGTCTCGTCGGGTGAATCTCGTCGGGTGAAGTTTATCTTGATTTATAAAGACAAATAAATACTCATAGTGTTTAACATTTCACTATACCACTGTAGTTCCTTACTGTATAATGATTAACTAAAAAAAAACAATTAATTATCAAACACTCGAAATTATAGCCAGGAAATACGATTAATTAGAGAGAATTTTGATTTTTCTGATTATTTTTTTCGATTATTTTCCGATTATTTAGAGGTGACGGTATTTTGGGTACTGATGCCCGGTTATATACCCACTGGATGGTACCACAACACTCTCTCAGTACCCAGTTGGTGCCCACGAGTGCCACAGTGCCTTGCTAGGGTGCCAACGTTAGCAAAATACCCACAACTGCTAACTTTAACGAGGAAAAGCCAACTTGATAGCGATTTCCTGCTGAATATAGCGATTTTACCTGATTAATATAGCAAAATATATCCTACCCGAGGCTATATTAAACTACTGAGATATAATATATAAAACTATATCATTATATAATACCAATAATATAATTAAAAGTTATAGAAAGCTATTTATAGAAGAAATAACAGCTGTGATGTGTTTCTGCTATATTTAGCTATTTAGTGGCGGTATTGGCATCACTGTGTAGGAGGGAGGGGGGGGGGGTTAGTGGCACTGGGGCAGGGGTGTAGTGCCGCCATGGCTCCCAGGGCTAAAATAAGACCAACACGCCTTCACTACCACAAGACTTCGCCTCTCTCTCTGTCTCTCTGTCTCTCTCTCTCTCTCTCTCTCTCTGTCTCTCTGTCTCACTCTCTCTCTCTGTCTCTCTCTCTCTCTCTCTCTCTCTCTCTATGGTTGTAGATGAAGGAATTAATAAGGGGGAAGGAATTAGGTGTAAAATGCACACATGCACAGTTGAAGTATTATAAAACAAGAGAATATATTAACTAAAGGGATAAATATACAAGAAAATGGATAAATACAATAATATGAGAGGAAATACATTCAATAAAAACCTGAAAACAATAGTAATAATAATAATAAGATACTTTAGGCAGGTTGTCTCTGGTTCAATTATAAAAACATAAATGAAATATTAACACGCCTAAATAAACTGAATAAAAGCCTAAATACACTGAATAAAAGCCTAAATACACTGAATAAAAGCCTAAATACAAAAATAAAACCCTGAAGACAATAATAATAAATATTAATAATAATAATAATAAGATATTTTAGGCCGGTTGTCTCTTCCTCATAGTAAACAAAGATGGCGCCTCGAGTACCAGACGAGATTGATGTCTTTACGGCTCCTCACTCCCGTATGAAGGAACTGGTCAACATATACACCCAAAAGGTCAGTTAATAACCCTAATTAACCTTTAATCTAATGACATATCCATTAATTAACAACAAATATGGCGGACATGACGAGGAAAGGAAAAATGATGGAATTTTTTTATTTCCTATTTTTTGACAGTTGTTTATTTGTTTATTTTATTGGACATGACAGTTAGTGGTTGTTTGGTTGGGTGGTTGGGTGGTTGGGTAGGATTGTGGTTGTCTTGTTGGTTAATGATGTTTTAAGGTTATTAGGTCAAGGATGTGAGGTGTCAAGGTGGTTAGGATCCCGTATGAGGCTCCATTACCCTCTACCAGGCTCCACTACCCTCTACCAGGCTCCACTACCCTCTACCAGGCTCCACTACCCTCTACCAGGCTCCACTATCCTCTACCAGGCTCCACTACCCTCTACCAGCTCCACCACCCCACCAGGTTCCACTACCCCCACCAGGCCCACCACCCCCCACCAGGCTCCACCACCTCTACCACAGGCCCCACCACCCCACCAGGCCCATACCCCACCAGGCTCCACCACCCCCCACCAGCTCCCACCACCCTCTGCACAGGCCCCACCACCTCTTACCAGGCTCCACCACCCCCCCACCAGGCTCCACCACCCCCACCAGGCTCCACCACCCCCACCAGGCCCACCACCCCACTCAGGCTCCACCACCCCCACCAGGCTCCCACCACCCCCTACCAGGCCCACCACCTCTACTCGGCCCACCACCCTCTACTAGGCTCCACCACCCCCACTAGGCTCCACCACCCCCACCACCAGGCTCCCACCACCTCTACCAGGCTCCACCACCTCTACCAGGCTCCACTCACCCTCACTGTGGCCCACCACCCTCTGCCACCAGGCCCACCCACCCCACCAGGCCCCACCACCCCCCCATCCAGGCCCCACCCACTCCCCACCAGGCCCACCACCCCACCAGGTGGCCCACCACTCCCCACCAGGCCCACCACCCCTTTACCACAGGGCTCCACTCACTCCACAGCTCCAAACCACCCCACCAGGCCCACCACCCCACCAGCTCCACCACCCCACCAGGCTCCATCACCCTCTACCAGGCTCCACCACCCCTACCGGGCTCCACCACCCTCTACCAGGCTCCACCACCCCCTACCAGGCTCCACCACCCCCTACCAGGCTGAGTTTAACAGATGGGTCAGCTGATAACATTAACCTCAGCTGTATAATAATCTCTTGTATAACATATATCTTATATTACCCGAAGGACAATTACCCCAGACAAATTTCACCTAACGATTAAACTTCCAAAACACCAAGGTTAAGTTAAGTTAAGTTAGGTTAGGTTAACATCCTCTGTTCCATCAAGATAAATTCCCCAAACACCGAGAATCACATTAACCTCCTCCGTTCCGTCAACAGATGCAATGCGTGGACTTCCGGGACGGGCCGGAGGTTCTCTCTCTCCTCCAGGATCTCAACTCAACGCTGTATGAGTTTAAGTCTCATGAATCTATTGAGAACATCTTCATCATGGACCAACTCAAGAACAGACTCAAACAACGGCAGATAATAAACTCTGCCGTCTGTGACTGCCACAACGATAACAGGCTCGCTGATGTGAGTTATAGCCTCTGTAATTATACACCCAGTTTATTTACCTGAAGATTATACACCCCAGTTTATTTTACCTGAAGATTATACACCCCAGTTTATTTACCTGAAGATTATAGACCCAGTTTATTTTACCTAAAGATTATACCCCAGTTTAGGTTAGGATGATTAATCTTACGGTGAAATAAACTAGCAGGGGCAGATCCAGGAATATCAAAAGGGGGGTCGGGGGGCTCCAAGAAGCTGCGGGTGGGGCAACATGGCGAGCACAGCGAGGCCAGTTGGACATTTTGAGGCCATGTGCACTTGAGGCCACCCTGTTGGACATTTTGAGGCCATGTGCAGTTGATATTAGGAGATGCTCTGAGGTCAATAGGAATTACTTGTTACTATATAAAAATACTTGAGTACAAAACTGTATTAAAGAAAAAGTACTGGAATTATCTGATTGAAGGGGAGGTCAGGACCCCAGGACCCCCCCTTAACTAGGGTGTCTTAATCTTCATGTAATCCATTTATATCCGTCATAATTGAAGACCAGAGTGTAGGATTATCTCAGACTTTCACTATCTTCTGTATATAAATCACTATCAGTTACACTATACTTTGAATTATTATTATTGTGTTTTATGGTAATTAATTAGTTCAACCTACAGGTGGTTCAGCTGGTGAGAACGGGGACACAGGTGAGAGAGAGAAGCATCGGTGAACGGGTCAGTTTTGGTCTGAAGCTTCAAGAGACTTTTGAGGAATTTGTCCGCAACTTTCTGCCGCACATGGAGGAGGAGGAGCAGGTGTTTCAGGTGAGTCTCTCTCTCTCTCTCTCTCTCTCTCTCATGGTGGGTTATACAGTATCAGGAAGGCAGTAGGTCTGATTGGTCTTAAACAAAGTGCAGAAAACATATTACAGTCTTAACCTACAGCAGCTTGATCAACATAACACAGTGACTAATGACCCGACCAAGCCAGATAAGGTGATATTGTCGTTAGGAAAAACATCATTGCTCGCTGACAATTCCCAACGAGGCAGAATTCGACGGAGATTGGGATTTTGTCACCAACGGCCAGATTCAAGGAAATGTTAATCTCCACCAGCAATATTTATCTAATGTACAAATATCACAAACTTTAATGAAATAACAGATGATATGAACAGTGTATAATTATGGTGAACAGTGTATAAATATGATGAACAGTATATAAATATGATGAACAATATTGAATGATGGAAATTCTTACATCAGTCCGAGCTAAGAGTACTACCAGATTTCTTCCCCCAGGCAGCACATGAGTCCCTTCACTATATAATGACTAGATGAAACCTTCCCAAACACACAGGATTCTATTGACCAGTTATAGGTGTATCTGAAGGTTGATCTTGCACAAAGTATAAAGTAATGAGACATTATCTGATAACTAATGAAAACTACATCTAATAAACTATACTATAGAGATGAAAGTCCATTATAACGATGATCACAAGTTGAACCAAATATAAGTTATATAATATACAATAATTGACTCATAACATAATTCGATATGTATTGTAAACCTAACCTAATTTAACCTTAGTCTAACCTAGCATAATTTAACTTAAGTCTAACCTAACCTGATTTAATTTAACTTATCTAATTTATGCTTATTTTAACTTAACCCTCCAGGTAATGTTAAGGTGACCACAAAATATGAATAAATTAAAAGAAAAAGTTATTGTTTGTTTGGTAATATTATTGTTCTCCACCAATAGCCGCTGTTGGTGGAATATTTTGACTACGATGAACTGAAGATCCTGAAGGAGGTCGTACTGAAGGAGCACGAGCTGGTGAAGGAGAGGCAGAGTCTGGAAAAGGCCCAGGAGGAGGAGGAGCCGGAGACCAGCGGCATCGTCAAGGACCTCAGAGACCTGGACTGGGACCTGTGTTCTCTGGCCGACGACGACTACTGCCGGGGCGGCCGAGACGTCACCCCAAGGGAGGAACCTTTCGCAGACGGCCATCACAGATACGCGCACCCTTCGCCGGATCCCCAGTACCTCGATGTTCCTCCCGACACATCACTCACGGAGACACTAGACGTCCCCTCGCCACAGATCCCCGGAGACGACCCCTCCCGAAGTCTACCCGCGGAGATTCTGGTCGAGATTTTCCAGTACTTGACGCCCCCAGACCTCGGCCGGTGTGCCCAGGCGTGTTTGTCCTGGAACGATGCGGCCTTCTCTCCATCACTGTGGACCGCGATCTACCCCGTCCAGTGGGCCAGAGGTTTGTAGGCTGGTCGAGACAAGTGAGAGTTATATACTATACTGTACACACACACACACCAAGCTATTGTTCCTTAAGATTAACCTAACCTAACCTGACCCAACCTAACCTAACCTTACCTAACTTAACCACCCAAGCTTATATCACTTTAAGATTATACATGCCAACTTATTTCACTTAAAGGTTAACTACCATTTTAAAAGATCAGAATCACATTAAAATATTCCACAGTCCCTAACAGTTAGTGGATGAGTGTGACAGCTTGGCCGCTAGAGCCATCAGCCGAGGCGGGAAACATGAAGTTGTTAACAGTCATATTTCCCGCCTCTGCTGACGGCTGTGCAATATTTCAATGTTATTCTGATCTTTTAAAATGGTAGTTTTAGCATAATGTAATAGTACTGCTACATAATTTGTCTTCGTATGCCCTATTGTGGGTAATAATAAGTACAGTATATATGAAATGTGTCCTCCAGAAGCGTCAATTTGCCACCAGAGTTTAACAGTTAATTCTTGTATAATATTTCTGATAAACTTCCTACTTGCTCATGTTTAAAATAATAAATGTTTGTATCTTTATATAATTTAGCTAAATATCTGAAAGGGTCATCCCAGCAATTATGAATAAACTCATTTAGAAATACATCATTACTTCAGGACGAAATTGGACAGATTTGCAACAGCCAATCAGCTAACTCTTGAGGAGGGGGCAGGGCATCTCTTCTCAGCCGGGAAAAAAATGCACTATAGGAACTTTGTTATGATAAGTTACAAGGACTTTATTGTGAGAAGATAAATAATAGTGAGTGTTTGTGTATTATTGGCCGAGGTGAACACATCTCCGCACATCTCCGCAGGTATCTGGAGCTCTGAGGATGTGGGGTTAAGTCTGGCACTGGAGGACGCAGCGTCAGATCACAGCCCCGGGAAGTGGGATGAAGATGCTGATGTTGATGAAGCCGAGGAGGAGAGAGACCCACTGGCTGATAAGGAACATTTTATACTGGAGAGGTGTGTGTGTGTGTGTGTGGGTGTGTGTGTGGGTGTGTGTGTGGGTGTGGGTGGGTGGGTGGGTGGGTGTGGGTGTGCCTGTGTGTTGAGAGAATAAAAACACCATTACAGACTGTAAGCCACACACACACACACACTGCTTTCCACTGTAGTTCTTCACATCAAATCACTAACGACCATCTGAAACATCTTGTAGTCATCAATATCATCATCCATCAAGTCATTAGCCATTCAGGAGGTCAGTCAGCTCTCTTATATAACCTTTATTGTAAACGCCTTGGTTAAGGACGTTCTGGTGACGAGCAAGTCGAAGGGAATGATTGAAACTCGCCTTTTGACGTATTCAATATTTATTGATGTGGTCAAAACCTGCAGAGAACAAGGCATTCATTAGTATTACATGGTGATCTATCTGATACATAATTAGTTTGTCTCAGACAATTTCATTTTAATTACAATTGATTATTAAGCATAGTGACATGATACAAAGTTCATAACTCTATTAATCTTAATTACATTTCATTCCGCATTGTCTCATTTCTCAAATAAGGCAGAAACGAGTAGGCATAATGTGTCCACAAAATTTCAGTACTGAGGGGTATGTCATCACTTTGGCTGTACTTACAATTGCGGGTTAATAAACCAGTATGGTGTTCCAAGGGACAGTAGTACTGTGCAAATTATTCCAGCACAAAACTCGGCCAGGATTGGGAGTTGGTGTTTACCACAGAGGGCTGGTGGCTGCATGGTCCTCACAGCATCACTTGAGAAGGCACTCTGCCTCATGGAGGCCAGGCGGCCACGCCACACTTTAAACCATACACTCAGCAGAATCAGGGCATCTTGTTTGTGCAGGTCACGTTGGGGAGGGGGGGGGGCCACGTGGTCCCAGGCTGATAGATTGAATGTTTGTTCAGGTAAGGCAACACCGGCACTGTAGTTGAAGCCAGCGGCGATAACATTTATAATCCAGTTTTAGTTAATGAAGAACAATAATACACAGATAATACTTTTAGTGGTTAGTAATGGTAGTCTGGGTGAGGTGTGGAGCGAAGTACTGTACAGTACACCACCATCATCACTTCTACACCACCATCATCACCACTCCCACACCACCATCATCACCACTCCCACACCACCACCATCACCACTCCCACACCACCACCAACACTCCCACACCACCACCAACACCCCCACCACCACCTCTTATAAGTAATCATTATTTGCAGCTTGGTTAACTGGGTGTTGCCGAGGGCCGGGGCAGGAGTGAGCACCATTGTGGTCGATGCTGGCCAGGGCATCACCTCACGTCTGCTGCATCACGCCCTTGTGTTGTGTCCTAACCTCACAACACTCTCCGCAGCCCACACACAGATTGACTGTTACTCCTTCAAAGGGTGAGTTAGGTGATACAAGGTGAGGAGGATAATCTTCAGGCGATCCAAACATTAGCTTCATAATTACTGCTATTATAGAGAAATAAATCACTGTTTTTGTCTTCAATTGTAAATAATTTTCAGGTTGTGGCTTCAAGGCAGCTTAAGGAGACTCTGCCACCTTGACCTTCAGGGTTGTGACATGATAGATGACCTCGCTCTCCATTACTTGGCACAGTGTGGGTCCTCAGGTCAATACCCCGGTTCAGATGTGTCCAATTACCCCGGTTCAGATGTGTCCAATTACCCCGGTTCAGATGTGTCCAATTACCCCGGTCCAGATGTGTCCAATTACTCCTCCACCATTGATGTCAACCGCTACTGTGAGGTTCCTGAGGTCATAAATTACTGCGACAGGAGGTGTAGTGAGGAAGAGGAGGAGGAGGAAGAACAGGAGGAGGAGGAAGAGGAAGAACAGGAGGAGGAGGAGGAGGAGGTGTGGACAGCAGAGGCCTACCAGTTGTGTGGGTACTGCAGGTGCTGGTGTAGCCACGTCGACGGTCTGCCTCTGAGGGCCAACTTACAGCCTTGGGAGAACAGTTACTCTGGTGGTAATCCTTGTCAGGTGGTGAAGAAGCGCCGTAGTTTAGGTAGAGGCCGAGGGAAGCGCTCCAGCTGCCTGACTAAGGACGCGACACGAGGGCACCCATCACGGAGAACGCTACCGCCCAGTCCTCCGTCGCAGCAGGTAGAGCGGGACATTGAGGAGATCTGTTGTTATCCCAGGAATTACACGTCTTGGCAGCCTCTCCCCGGGAACGTGTCGTATCGGCCTCAGGGGTCAGCCCGCGGCGATAAACAGACGTCGGGTAACTACACGCACGACCTCCAACTTGTCACACTCAGTCTATCCGGGTGTTGGCAGGTCACGGACGACGGCCTCCTCGCTATGGTCGACGCCGGACTACTGGACAGCCTGAGAAGCATCGACGTCAGCGGGTGTTATCAGCTGACGGGGGAAGGCTTGGAGACATTCGCCGACGCTTGCGCCAACCTCCGTCCCGAGAATCTCTGGTACTGCGACAACATCCAGGACGGACCTTACCCCGCGCTGGCCAACGGGTGCGCCAACCTCTGTAACCCAGTGAGAGTGTGTTGTCGTAGCGGCAGGTAAGCTCCCCTCGCGTTGCCCCGTGGAGCACGTGAATTGTTTGTGATACTTTGGTAGAATTAGTTTGGGGTAATGACGGTTAATACAGGTATGGTCCAGGGAGTATTGGGGCGGTACTTGGTAGTAATGGTAATACAGCAATGGTAATACATTAATGGTAGCAATGGTAATACAGTAATGGTAGCAATGGTAATACAGTAATGGTAGCAATGGTAATACAGTAATGGTAGCAATGGTAATACAGTGGTCCCTCGATTAACGAGCACAATCCTTTCTAGAAGGTTCCTCGTTAACCGAAAAACTTGTTAACCGAAATCATTGTTTCAATGGGTTTTTGGGTAATTGGTTCCAGCTCACCGAAAATTGCCTAAATTCAACAAAAAAGGTAGAAAAGTACACTTACTTTGAGGTGTGTATGTAGAAGGCTCCTGGATGATGATGATGGGATTTAGAATGGGGGTGGAAGAGAAGGAAGAAGAGAAGGCATTGGGGTGGAAGAGAAGTCACCCCATGGCGCCATTTCACCCATAAAATTTTAGCTCTCTTGGTGTAATTCAAGATTATTTTCTTTAAATCAACACTGCTCTGCATTATATATTGTCAATATGTAAAATATATTTCCAAATGGCCAATAATTTGCTTGGAAACACAGAAAAAAAGCGTTTAGTTGAAGAAAGTCTCAAGCAAGATGTTACCTCCACTAAAAGACACAAAGACTGATGCCTGTATGCTGTGTTGGCAGGCTGGATGGCGTGCCACAAACTAGTCACTTTACCTTCAATTAGGTTCAATAATTGTTAAAATGACTAAAAAATTTAATATTAAAGTTTTAAAATGATTGAATAGTATAAACTTCTTGATATTTAATAAAAGGGTAAGGAATTTAAGCCCTAGAACCGATTACTGTATTGGCGGACTAATACTACAGCTGGTGGACCGCCAAATGCAAGTTAAAACATGTTGAGGTCGGCTCGTAAGAAACTCGTTAATCGAGGGATTGCTCGTTAGCCGAAGTTAAGAATCTTATGGAAGATAACTCGTTAACCGAGGGACCACTGTACAGTAATGGTAACAATGGTAACAACAGCAACATTTAACAAAGAATTCAAGACATTCAACATCAAATCTTACTACAACTTATAAAACAGAATCAACTCCTAGAAAAACAATCATGGCTTCACACAACACAATCAAATCACACAAATCAAACGAGACAATCGACCGCTTCCAAACACAACAAACAACTGCGGTAAGAGGTGTTTGGGGGGGGGGTGAGGTGAGAATTAAATCATTGAGTTGGGTAGAAATATGTTTGGTTGTGTGTGTTTGTGACGAGTGTTGGATCACCTGAAGATTACCACCTCTCTCTCTCTCTCTCTCTCTCTCTCTTAGCGTATGTGGATGAGGAGGTTGTGGTGACGAGGGGGGTGGCCAGTTGTAAACGACATAGAGCGGTTGTTAAAAGCAGAGAGAGAGAGAGAGAGGTTATAGATGATAGACAGAGAGAGAGGTTGTTGGTGGACAGATGGGGGTGATTGTAGTGGACAGAGAGAGAGAGAGAGAGAGAGTTGGGGTTATGAACAGAGAGAGAGAGAGGGGTGTTGTGACCCAATTTCAGGTCAACAACACAAACTGACAAATATCAAGTGATTATATATCCTGTTCATGTTCCTTAACTCTCTTGAACACACACACACAGTTCTGTAGCTGGGCGAGGAACACCATAGGAACGTAATCTTGTTCCTCGCCTCTATAGCCCTGAGCGGTTCATTTTGCATTTGTTCGTGATGCGTCTGGTGGATGGATGGATCGCCGACCACAGCAAGACGGATATGATGTATTTATTTGTGAGCCATGGATTAATGTGGGGTAGGTTAGGTTAGGGTAACAAGATAGGGTTGAGTAGGCTAGAATGGATAGGATAGGGTGGATAGGATAGGGTTGAAGGAACTCTTTGAAATATATGAAAGATTGAGAAACGATAACCAGATTTTGTTTAGATTTACAAATGTTTATTCACGTCACGTTTGCTGCATCGCTGAGAATTGATTCCATCCAGACTGTTGTTGATGTTACACGTGTGTGTGTGGGGGGGGGGAGTAGAGGGGTAGTCGATGTTTACCACGAGTCTTTTATTTACGAGAACGGTGTAAGTACATCACCTGAAGATTAGCCCACCTCCCCAACTTATTTCACCTTTTAGAATAATTGTCTTCATGTTACCTGGGAATGTTAGATCAGGTTAGGTTACGTTAGGTTAGGTTACGTTATGTTAGGTTAGATTAGGTTAGGTTACGTTATGTTAGGTTAGATTAGGTCAGGTTAGCATTAGGGTCGTGAATCATCAGGTGAAATAAACTAGGGTCACTAATCTTCAGGCAATCTGTATATATTTCAAACAGAAAATAGATTTTTGAAGGATATTGTACAACTTAACCTAACTCAACCCATTTCTCACCACTAAGAACTCATAAATAACAATGTTCTATGTATATATATGTATATTTCCTACAAAGTTATTTATCTCAAATCAAACATATGAATTATTTGTATTATATTTACTTATTTCTACTTACATGATTTTAGGTACACATGTATGTAGGCAATAAAAACAGTCATGTGTGGAATTGACTACTGGCTGAATCAAGACTAAAATGCCTGGTGTTTATGTTATAGATTCTGCTTCAGTATTCATTATATCAGTTATATTACCAAGCAGTTATAGGGGACAGATTATTATTGCCACGGCTATATTATGAGAGCAGTTATTTTATTGTCGCATCTGTGTTATAGGGGATTGAGTTACTATATTAATAGGAATTATACAAGACACTAATGATAATACAATAATTATATTACCCAACTGTAGATTAATATATATTACACTAATTTATATATCACAATTACTGTATACTCTTATAGCTGCCTAATATAAATATCTATTGTATATATTGCCTTCATATACCTGTACTCATAAATACATAATAATTACAGTTATGTACAGTACTACAGTGATATAACTACCTAATACATCATACAGTTTTAGCCACAAAATCTTAACTACCTAAACTACACCATTGAGGCTTGGAGCTGTTTGATGATGGGGTGATAACAGCAATTTGTACGTCCTCGTTAACGTGTGTGTGTGTGTGTGTGTGTGTGCGTGCGTGTGTGTGCGTGTGTGCGTGCGTGCGTGTGTGTGTCTTGTCTAAACTTCCTGAACACTTGGGATCTATTTGTGGGTGATGGTGATGGTGGGTGATGGTAATTTATTAAGGTGATGGGTGGTAGTTGATGGTGATTTAATGGCCCATTTGTTTAGTGGTGAATTTGAGTGAATCTTGGTAATTTGTCGATGGTGAGTGTTGCAGTATCGATAAATAATCCAAACAAATCACACGAGAAAAATACAAACAGATATTGAATAAATCCCAGTATCTTAACCTATACCTCATTTAACCCCAGATACTCTCACGTGTTTAGGGAATCTGAACACTAGTGAACAGTCGCTCAAAATAGAGGTGTTCGATGAATCCCAGAATGAACACTGTGACTCTTGTTATCTGAGTAGGGTCTTCAAAATCCCTCATCTGCCACATTATTTAATACTGTTTTTATTGGGCGATTATATTAAATGTTTCATAATTCTTCCACATGTTAGAGTATAATACCTGTATACCATTGAGCATACACTAATATATAACACACTGTTGATCAGACACCTATATAGAGAGATCCAGTGTATGGCAACAGTTTAAATGAGTGTATTTTTTTAATTAATGTTGTTATTGTCAGGATTTTTTATTGATAGGGGTAGTTTTGGTACATTATTTCTATGGGGGGGAGGGTTAATGGGTCGTCCTTGAAGGGTTAGAGTCATCCCTAAAGGGTTAAACTATCCTCCTCAAAGGGTTAAGTTTGTCTCTTGTGTTTGCTTGGTGACAGACTGTAGTGAGTTACAGTAATTCCTGCTGTATCCTAGCCCCTCCATATCATCTACCTAAACAGAGTGAATACAGAGACAAAAACTCGTATAATGTTTTCTACCTAACCTAATGTGAACTAACCTAACCAAACCTGACCAAACCTGACCAAACCAAACCAAGAAAGGAAAAGTATGATGGTCTCTACCTAACCTAACCAAACCTAATCTAAACTCAACATAGAATGAATACCATGATAAATACACACACACTGTACCATTTAATACACCGTGTGGGAGTAACCGCAACAAGTACAGGGTGCGGCAGAAGTCTTAATGCGGCTCTAACAGTCACGCCGGGAGAGTAACATCATTTGTATAATACGTGAGATAACAACACTAACGTTTCGGTGTCGTAGAACTTTGTTTATGGCACCAGTCGTTTCATTACAATTTTCTTTACGACTTCTGCTGTTTTCTGCTACTTAAATATTTTACTTGTGTATGTATAATTTTTATTTAACTTGCTTAAGAAAATAGAAAACAATGCCTTTGAAATATATATAGTACTGTACATTATTGCCAAGTTAGGTACTATAACTTGAAGTATAGTTAGCACATTATTACCAAGTTAGGTTTATATCCCACACACTGTACTGTATAACTACACTACTACAAGCTATATATTTCTACCATGTATACTTACTAATGACTACCATAGTTGCTATCATAAGGCGATATAACCAGCTAGAGTTTGTACGTATATTACCATTGTGTAGAGTGAGGTAAGCTGTGTAGAGTGAGGTAACTTGTGTAGAGTGAGGTAAGCTGTGTAGAGTGAGGTAAGCTGTCATAAGGTGCCGTGGATGAGAGGTGAAGTTAGGTTAGGTTCAGAGGTTAGATGACTGGCAAATGTAAAAAAAAAAACATCAAGAAATGCATTAAAAAAACAGAAAGGAATTTAGAAGATCTTAATAATATGATAACCACATCCTAGACTCAGTGGTGGGCACAGCTAAACGAAAAGTTAGCTCCGCTAATCTGCTAACTAAAAAGTTAACTTCACTAATGCTAAACCGCTAAATAGCTAAAAAATTATTGGAAGCTAACGCTAACTTTTATTATATGAATTTAGCTTCATTTATTTTTTTTTGGGGGCTTTAAAACCCTTAAAACAGACCTACAGAGCTGAAATTTTCAAATGTTGTCTTGTAGCTTAGACATAGAGCTTTCCAAAAAGGTATAGCATGCCAAGACCAGATGATGAGCAAGGTGTACACAAATAATTAAATGAACAAATGAAATTAAACATTAGTTTACATTCAAGTTTCAACATACACTTTATAATCTTTATTTACTGTACGAAAAGACAGAAAGTATTAAACGAATCCAAAACTATACAATAGTACTGTATAGCCTAGGTAGCATCATGCCAAGAT